CAAATAGAAAAAAAAGGGGGGGGGGGTTGTGTGGACTGCCCTGTGTGTGTAGCCCCCTCCGTCTCGGAGGTGCCGAGAATGGTGCCATTTGATTTGATGGGGGGAACTATTTACCCATTATATAAATGACTGTAAGCGGTTCGGTTCGCTGTCTTGGGGATGATTGATTCGTTTTTGTTTTTTTTGTCGTTGGAGGGATGGATGGGCGGTAGCACAATGATGATCCCTGTTCGTTGCCACCCCGAGTGCGGGGGGGGGGGACTAGAATCACATCGGCCATGTTGTGAGATACTTCCCTTGCGCTTTCGCCTGGCGAGGTTGCTCCCAACACGTCGGAACGACCGCTGATGTATTTCGAGTGCCGTAAAGGTGGCGATATGGAGGAACTTACAACAGTCCAAACCCTACTTAACCCTAACCCTATGTCACTTGCGCCAAAAATGTTCTTCTTCGATCGGGGTACATTGATGTGGTATTTATCTTTTCACTAGTCGTTGGAATTTCCGGCAGCGCGGATGCTGCCGCCGCTGATATTTTTTCGCTTGTCGAGCCTCTCTCTCCTTCCTGTGTTTTTGCTGTTTTTTTTTTTTTCTTCTTTGGTCTCGGAGACAGACGCGTTAGATTAGGGCGCTCTGCTGGCGGGGGGTAAGGTTGTAGATCAACAAAGCCATCGGCATGGATGGATACATGGCGTCATTACTTTTCGACGAGACGCTAGCGCGGGTGTGAGATGAGGCTCGTTTCGGGAAGCGCTATCGGTAAAATAGGAGTATATGTGGTGGGGCCCGCGCTACCACCTCCAGAAAGGATAGGAAGGTTTCATTTTTTCACGGCATGTCTCAAGCTCGGCCCAACAAAGGCGTTGATATTTTTATGCGTATTTGCATGCATGTCCCTAACGCAGAGCTTGCTACTCAGTTGGTGTAGATCATCGGGTCGCAGGTCAGAATAGACATTTTATTTCATGGTTCGCCGGCTTTATCGTCGAGCCCTGCAAACGTTTCAAAACGTCCGAATTGATCGATTTAAGCTGGTGCTTTGTTTAGGTCATCATCTCAGCGTGTTCCATGATCCATCATGTCTACAACTTCGTTTGCTTTTTCTGAAGAACGCATTGCGACGAGGAGGGTCGGGTTTAGCGCCTCCGGTGTACTTCTCGCGTACCCCCTCTCCAACGCCTGTTCTTCTCTAAACGTTCTGCTTCGAATCCCTGTTGTTCTCGTCTCATTTGACGCACCAAATAATTCTTCCAATACTTTTGAGTGTGCGCCGCATTCATTCGTCCTATGGGAAGTCTACATGAAACTCATGGTTTAAGGGATAACGTCGGTACTCCGACAAAAAAACACACACGCAAGAAGAGGCCCGGCCATGTATTCGGAGAGGCAGCAAAAGGCGCGGCACATTTTTTCGGAAGGATGGTTCGGTGGGTGTACAGGATTTGGAGTGCGCGCTTTTCTCGAGATAAATCGCCGTGGGATTACTACGTGAGTGTAAGGTATCGAGGAGGTAGGTGCGCTCTGAGACGTATTTGGTTGCCGGGTTGCAAGCGAGTAAAACAGAGCGGTAAAGCTGTCTTTTGGTGCAGAGCGCTTCGTCAACCCGTGATCGTTTACGTACGTACTTCGATGCCGCGCGCCGGGGCGGGGGGGGGGGGGGCAGAAAAATGGAAACCGTTGTTATAAAATTATAATTGAAGCGTTATGGCTAGCAGCATGTACTGTAGCAGTCAGCCTCGGACGGTGGTCATCAGATCAGTGGTGGGATGATACTTAGTGGCGGCGCGAAATTGCTGAGAATATCTATCTTTCTTGGCACTATGCTAAGACCATCCTTAAATGCCCGAGGGACTATTGCTTGCTCGGGTTAGGAAGAGCCACGATGTATGGTGTAGACTAGGGCTCTTCAACCGGGCGTCGCCACAATTTGCTAATAGTCTTTCCATGCTGGAAAAAATTCCGGCTAGAGTTAGTTCTCAATTGCTCAACGTTTCTATGCATAAGACGTGGCGCGTCGTATTGCTGCAAGGCAGGAACCAAGGCTTGTCGCACAGAGAAGCAAGGCTTGTTGTTGCCAGAATGAATGGAAAACAGACCACCCGAGAGAGTCCACCACATAAAGAAGAAAATAAGCGTAAAGAAGAAAATAAGCGTTTCTACCGCACGAACTGAAGAAGCACGGCGGGGGTGGTGGTGGCGATAAGAAAGCAAGCGCAGCCAGATCACATTCTCTACAAAGTTTGTAGTACAAAATAGGAATAACCTGTTTCTGGCGAGAAGCGATCGATGCTGGCGAATACGATTGATTGCATGTAACAGCGAGACCTGAGATAGATGCGTTTCGAGCGCAGACCAAACAACTATATTTCCTGTGTTTGGGAAAAAAACCCACAACAGATAATAAATAGTCTAGTCCTTCCGAATACCAGGTGTTGGCATGTTCAAGAATCCCCATTGTTCGTACAAGTACCGCAGACAAGAATCAATCGCCAACGGCCGACGATTTTCTTTAACAACAATACTCAAGAACCCAATAGACATTTGTCATTAATCGCACGCGCAGAACGGCAGACTGTCGCGAACTAACCACGTATCAACACCCCATCTACCGTATATGACACAAGATAACACACCCCCTTGACCGATTTTCAAAGCTCGATTTCTCAACAGCAGGAAGACTCACAGCGCCGAAAACGGCGGCGTTGGAACCGTCTCGTTGAAAGCTTTTCGAAAATGTATAATTTCGTTTATTTATCCTCTTCGTCATCGAGTAATCGAGCTTTGAAAATCGGGCCAGGGGGTGTGATATCTTGTGTCATATACGGTATCCCGGTTTCGGAAGCAAACCGCCAAGAAAAACAAACGGTACCGGACGAAACCACAGCCGCCGGATCTTACAACTCTCGTCATGAACGGGTTACTGGAGCAGCACCCAAATACGGTTGCCAGAATGTACCCCCTCCAACTATCCTTTCACCACAACAAGAGCACCGACACAAAACAAACCATTCCCCCCTACATCGCTCGGTGGGGTGAAAAGGTCTTGTCGCTTCAACGGTATACTAATCATACCCTAGCAAGGTGAAACGCTATGGACGGGTAAGGAAACTGTTGAGCAACGGTCTGTCTGCCCTTCCTTCAATCCAAAACATCGCGGCGTGGAGTTGATCGGCCTTGTGCAAAGAGAGCAAAACTACAACGAACGATTGACAAAGACAACGGAGCGACAGACAATAAATAACGGCTTCCGCTCTTCTTGCTCACTCACGAAACAAAATACCCGTCCTTCCCACAAGTACACTCGGCTTCACCCCTCCCTCCGTCCAACCGAAGCCCTCAAAAGTTGTCAAGATACAGGCGAAAAACCAAACAGCTTTAGCATTGGATCGTAACACCAGAAACATCCTTCCTTGTGAGTCTGCTGTTGGCTGCTTAATTGCAGTCAGCCCGTCATCCAAGACACGACGATCCTTCTCACCATCCGCGTGCGAAACTTGTTGATGCAGCCCATGAGTGTGGTTGCTGCTGCATTGTAAACATTAATGATAACCCACGACGGGAGCACACCTTGACAGCTACAGTAACCAAACAATCAATTATCAAATAGGGAAGAAGAGCATGACACAAAAACTCCTTCTTTCAAGATTTCAAGGAATCACAACAGTTGATGCGCTAGTTCCCCCTTCTTTGGGAAGGCTGGCATCAGGCTAGAACTGCACGGCGAGCTCATCTCCGAAACGGTACATCCGCCAACCCTCGCATCAGAAAACCGTTCAATCGAACCTACCAACATCCCACATAACACCCCATGATTCATCGAAAGAGGTTAGAGGCCCCCCTTCATAACTTAAAGCGCATAAATACGCGTACACCATGCCACCGCAGCTGGAGCTAACAAAAAGCACACAGCGTCGACTCATTCTTCCGCCAACAACAATCGTGTCCGACGTCCACCTAATCGTTTGCTAGCTGGACAAGGGGGAAGCTGCTTCACCCGCCAACAAACCACGCCTGTGTCGTCGCCATTTGTTCGATTTGGTCAAAACCCTTGAGAGCGAGCTAGTTGGACGGGCTTTGAAACGAACTTTTGACGGACACCTTCGTCCATCTTTCCCACAACTGCGTGCCTGCCCTCCCACAATACACTCGTTGGGGGCATCCCCCCATGGCCAACGAAGCCCTCAGTTTCCCCCTTACTTAATCAGGGCCAAACAACGGTGGGTTTACTTTCGCGGCCCCGAAATGTAAGCATAGCTTGCACTCGCACCCCTCAAGCAACGAATGGTCCCACCCAGTAGCTAGCGCGTCCAATGAGATCAATGAACGGCTTCGTCTTGCTTCCTCGCTCATGCCAACACCACCGCGTCAAGACGACTCCTCCAATGCCCACCTCCCCTATCCCCCATAAAAACGGCCGTTTTCGCCTCAAAAACCCCAACAAACAAAAATCACCACGAGCTCCTTACCCGCCCAATCTAAAATTACGCCAGTCAACCCCCCCACGTTGCTCGCTCCCACGCAAGCTTACTTCTTGGTTGCCGTGTGGAAGACTTTCACCCGGAAAAAAACCGTCCCAACAAATGCAACAAAAACTCATCCCAACAAACGCACCAAAAAAAAAATCATCCCAACAAATGCACCACAAAAAAACCGTCCCAACAAATGCAACAAAAACTCATCCCAACAAACGCACCAAAAAAAAAATCATCCCAACAAATGCACCACAAAAAAATCATCCCAACAAATGCAACAAAAAACCACGACCAAAAACTCAGCAACAACCACCACACACACACACACGGTTAAATAGCAGCCTTGCTTCTTGCGTCTCGTCACTAACCCTAACCCTACAGTACTTACTCCATAGAGCTCAAGACGCTCGCGTCCAGCTCATCCACGACGTCGTACATCTCCCCCTCTCGAGGAAGGGGAACCACGGGCCCCCCCGTCCTCTCCCCCCACCCCGCCCCGCCCCCCCCGTCCCCCCGCTTTCCCCACCGCGCGCCCCCCGAGAGCGAGGAGTCCCCCCACCCCGCGGCGGAGGCGAAGACTCTTTCCCTGTCCAGGATGCCGTCTAGCTCTTCCTCCGTGATGGACAGGTCAACGCCGTCTCCGGCCTTATTTAGTTCCAGTCGGAAAAAAGGGGGGCCACGCAGTGGTGTGAGTGTATGTGTGTGTGCTGAGATTCTTTGACTACTGTAGCAATCGACACGGATGAAGTGTTATATCCACACCGTCTCTCATCGAGCTAGAAAAGGGGGCACGTTGCAGCAAGAGGTTCTTTCTATAGAACCGGAGATTCGCAACGTTCGCTTGTACCGATCGGCTAACACCACAACCAACCATCAAGAGCGGTGCGTTTGTGTGCTGAGCTTGTTTACTTAGAATCGACACGGATGGGATATTAGGTCCACACCGTCTCAGCGAGTCCACAAAGGGGGCCACGCAGTTGGTAATGCATGTGGGGGGTGCGTGCTAAGATTTTCTTTAACTACCGTCGAGACGGATGGAACGTAGGTTGCCGTTAGTTTCGGACGCTACGCTGGGCGTCATGTATAACAAAAAAAATACCTTAAATGGAAGAAATTATTCGCGCGTGCGGCACGATTGCAGTGTACAAGGGTGAGCAATCTCCGCACATGGTACCCACGAAAGAGTATAAGGGTGAAGTGAAGTGAAGTATCTCCTTGGCAGGCAAGCATGTACAAGAAGGGTGAGGTATCTCCACAGAGGGTGTACATGTATAAGAACGGTGAGGTATCTCCGTAGAAGGAACACATACACAAGAACGGTGAGGTATCTCCGTAGAAGGTACACACGTAGAGGAAGCGTAAGGAAATCTCCCAAAAAGGTACGCATGTAGAAATAGGGTGAGGTAACTCCGTGTAAGCTACACATGAATGAAAGTAGGGCCAGACATCTCTCTAGATTTACATTGTAGAAGGGTGAGGTATCTCCGTAGAACGTACACATGGAAGCAGTACAAGGGCCAGATATCTCCGTAGAAGGCACTCACCTCGGGACAAAGGGCGCGCTTGGCGAGGTCCTCGACGTCATCCTCCAGGAGTTTCCGGAGGTGCGGGACTGTCATCTCGCCGTACGTGCGTCTGCCGGCCTTCCCGAAGTCGCCGCCCTGCACCGCTACTCTCTCCAGCTTTTTCTTCGAGATCTACAACACAAAGAAAAAGGGAATGTGAAGAAAAAAAGATTGACATTGGGTTATAGGGTAACAGGGACTGCGTAGATGGGGGTGATTGAGAACGGGTCAGGGATAGTTCTCGAGGTTTCTTCTATCCACCACACCCTTTTCTTCAAGATCTGCAACGGGGATTCCGAAGATTGGATTATTTGAGATTGGGCAAGCGCTAGCTGGTCCTCGAGAGGGTTCTCCGACGTACTACAGATGAGAGTTGCAACCGCGGCCCATGTCGGTGCTGTGGTCTCGTGTCCAGTATTTCTCCTTCCCTCCCTCTCTCTCTCTCTTGGCCTCTCTATCTCTCCGTCCCTCCCCTTCCCCCGCCCCTCTCTCTCCATCTCCGCGGCTATGTCCCGTCTCACGTTCTTTCATATTCTCTACAAACGGCAGTACGGGCGGTAGTCACCTGCTTGGCCATCATCTCGATCTCGACGCTACCGGTGGTGAGGAGGCGATAAACCATCACGGGCTTCTGCTGCCCGATGCGGTGGCACCGAGCCATCGCCTGTGCGGTGCATGGTGGGGGTTGCGAATAGATACCGGAGCGTGACGGGGGGGATGAGAGGAGAGCCGGTGTAGGAGGGCGGACAGAGGGGGGGGCACCGCAGTGCAAAGAGATGCCACGATAGAGTTAGTGGGGGCACAGAACGAGTGAGACGGAGGTAAAGAGAGAGGGGGGGGGGGAGAAAAGAGGGAGAGGGAGAGGGAGAGGGAGAGAGAAGACAGAGAGAGAGCCAAAGACAAAGACACGCCGAACGCTACAACGAGTGATTAGTGCATGCATCCCGCCAGCACCTTGGCGTGGAAAAACTTGTTCGAAGCGGTTCAAAGACAACCATCCATGATGACCCCCAGCCAAATCAAGGAACTCCACAAGCACGTTACACGTGAACCCAAATCTACATCCACATCAAGGTAGTGTCACTCGCTTCTCTCCGATTGTGGTGACCCCCCCCCCTTTGATAAGGGCGGTTGAAGCAGTAAGACAGGGAGTCCAAGTAGGGGGAAAGAGTGTGTCCGGACTGATGTTTGCAGATGACTTCGTGGGGGTATCCGAAACACCAGAAGGGTTGCAAGAACAGATAGATGCGGCGGTAGGATACACCCGAAAATGGAGACTGTCGGCGAACGTAGGAAAATGCGCAGTAGTGGTCTGTAACGAAGACAAGAAAAATCCCGTAGAATTCAAATGGAAATGGGCGGAGGAAGAACTACCGGTAATAGACAAGTATACGTACCTGGGAGTAGAGATTTCGAAGGAGTGCTCATGGGACGCACACATAGCGAAGTTGATTGGGAAGGGTAAAGCTCAGATAGGCAAGATGGACGAGATCCTTACGGACCCACACCTAGACACTAGGATTAAGAGGTGTATTCTCTTGAATGTGATTGTACCTAAGCTAGAGTATGCAGGAGAGATATGGGAAGGTAACGAAAAGGCCGTCAAGCAGCTGGAAACGGTGCAGATGGCAGCGGCCAAGAAAATACTAGGATGTTCAAGTACAACGAGCAACACTGTATTGAGAGCAGAATTGGGAATGTACTCTCTTAAAACAAAGAGAGACATGCAGAAGTTGAATTGGCAGTACAAGGTAAGTAGAATGTCGGCCGATAGACTACCAGCCATGGTTGACAAGGCAGCTTGGGGAAAAGCGACTCCAGGGAAGAAGGGAATCAGATGGGACAAGGTGGTAGAGAAGGTTTTGGAAGGAGATAGGAGACGAGGAGGAGACGTTGGACACGGAAGGGTTCGGGGGGTTCAAGACGAAAGTCAAGGAGATGCTAGAGAGTAGGGAGGAGGCAACCCTTCGGAACAAGGTACGAAGCGAAGACCACTTGGAGATATACGGGAAGTTGAAAGAAGGGATAGGGATGAAGACGTACTTGGACGGCCCCATGGACTATGCGAAAAAGCTGAAATTGCAATTTCGAGTAGGCGATCTGGACTTGCCAGAACGGAGGAAGAGGTATACCAGCCGTAGGAGAGAGGAAGAGGAGGATAGACACACATGTCCATGTGGCAAATCGGAGGAGAGTAGACCCCACATAGTTGGGGAGTGTGAGTTGTACAGGAAGGAAAGAGAGGATCTCGAGGAGGAAATGAGACAGAGAGGGTGTGACATGGACAAGTTTGGTAAATTAGACAACAGCGAAAAAACGATCGCGATAATTGGGGATAGATGGTGGGCACAAGAGGCCCTAGAGGACGGGGATAAGATGTGCAAGAAATTTTTATGGAGTTTGTGGCAGAAACGTAAAGAGCTCCCAAATGTTGGTGGTGTCTCTAGTAGGGGTAGGAACGGTGCTCCGTCTCGAAAGGGACGCGTGGTCAATGGTCAAATGACTACGGCAAGCAACAAATGAGTACGCCCCCCCCCCC